TACAGTGAAGCAAGTGTGACAAAAAGAGACAATGACATAGAAAAAAAGAAAAGAGGGAAAAATGAAAAGAGAGAGGGAGAAAGAAAGAGATGGCTTCCAATTGTCTTCCCACCAGCTATGCATAGAATTTTAAGATTATGTATAAAGTCCCTTCTTTCTATAACTCATTCTATTTAATCATCCAAACCATAAACCACAAAATCATTTTCCTTTTATGCAAAAAGTCCATAAGGGCTTTCCAGTCATTGATGAATGTCAAAAATAATATCTTTGACTCTGGGGTGGGAACTGTCCCAGATAGATCCAGTCTGCAATTTCAGGGTTCTCTGGATGTGCGACTTATTCTAGAGGAGCAGGTGGCAGTTGTGACTAGGAGAGCCTTTGCACAAGGTTGGATTGTGCCTAGTTGTGGCCTCTCCAGAATCAGGAATCCCTACGTTCAAGTCATTCAGGCCCTACTCTTCTTACGGATGGACTATAGCACTCTACACGGGACTCTCCTTGAAGAACATTTGGAAGCTACAGCTGGTGCAGAGTGTGGGGACACGGAGAGCTCTTGGTGCCCAAAGAATGGCCCATGTAATACCACTGTTCTGCGAGTTGCATTGGCTGCCAGTCTGCATCTGGGTGCAATTCAAGGTGTTGGTAATCACCTTTAAAGTCCTTCATGGCATGGGTCCAGGTTACTTGAGCGACTGTCTCATCCCACTGGGATTCACCTGTCCCACCTCTGCCAGCAGAGGAGCCACGTTGCAGGCCCCATCGGCTCAATTATTCCACCCTACAGGATCAGTTGCACCTGCCACACAATGTGAGGTCAGCCCCAACCTTCCCGACCTTTCATAAGGGCCTAAAGACCCGGCTCTGCCAGTTGGAACCCCAATGGGGGAGCATTATAGTGGAGGTGGCATTTGTAATTGGATTTTAGCAGTTGGCATTAATATGCATGCATGCATGTATGTATGTAAAAGGTAAAGGTTTCCAGTCGTGTCTGAATTCTAGCAGAGCTCATCTCTATTTCTTGGCTGAGGGAATCATCATTGTCTGAAGATATTTCCCATGGTCATGTAGCCAGCATGGTTGTATGTTGTATGTCAATGGCACGTGTTGCCTTGTGTTTCTCATCAAAGCAGTGCTTATTAATCTACTCGCTTTGCATGCTTTTGAACTGCTAGGAGGTCAGGAAGAGGAGTTCACCCCATTGCCTAGTGCTCAGGTCTCGAACCCAGGCTGTCAGCTTTCCAGCATCTTTAACCACTGACTGAGTCATCGTGCCACATAGATACATACATACATACATACATACATACATACATACATACATACATACATACATACATACACACACACACACACACACACATACACACATACCGTCCATAACATCCTTATATGATGAATTGCAAGCCACCCAGAGTTACACT